TGCCAAAAAAAAACATTAAGTTCACTTTTGCAAATAGAGGGGAAGATAGTTGGAACAAGTTAGGTGAGAAGGTAGTGGAAGCCAAAACCGTAAGTAGTTTCAAAGCATCATATCACAAAGATCACTGGGAAGATGGGACACCTTGAGTATAGCTCTCATCCTGTAACTACACTTAGGTAATTAGAATGGGAAGCTGACAAAGGGCAGAATAATGTTGAAAGGCTGATCAGGCCGCCTCAGACTGATGATAAGAAAAAACCTAGAGCGCTGAATAACAACCATCCCCCTTTTCTTCAGAAAGATGGTGATAAATCCACCCTTAAAACTCAACACACATATTTGTGGAGAGCCTGGAGGTATCTGTATAACACCAAGGTCTGGTCTGGAGGTATTTGTGTAACACCAAGAGCTGATCTAAAGGTATTTGTGCAACACCAAGAGCTGCTCCTCTGTATGAGGAAAAGGATAGGATGAAAAAACAAATTCTGACACCTTAAGAATTTAACAACTGTACTGTGCACACTGCGATATCATGGGGAAAGGGTGTGTGTGCAAACCAGCATATCACGTTTCTTAATACAATATATTCAAAACTCCCATGTGTACATTGGGCTCACATCCTATTCCTCAGGACTCCAGTAAACAGACACCATCTTGAATAAAATCATCATCATCCCTCCTGGTTGTGAGAGCCTCAGTACTGCCAGAGGGACCAAGGCTGGCACATGCAGCTGGAGCTCACAGCACAGCTGTGCATGCTGAGGCAACAGCACAACTTAATAAAGAATAAAATAAATACAGTAACTGAAATTATTTTGTGATGATAGCGTCATAGATGATCCTGACTGTGATAATGACTGTGTAAAATGTTTAGATATCAGTGAACACAATACTAGTTATAATGTTCACAGCATGTGGCAAGAGACACAGCACTCAGCCATTGTTTTCTGCATCTATGTATCATGAAACAACCTGTTGCTCCCTTACAATAAGCTTGTGGAAATGGATTTATATTCAGGATTTAATGACAGGAATGTGATGATAACAGCAGTTCTGTGGCAAGTCTTAGTGATGTGTGTACTGTAGTATATTGGAAGCATTTTCTGTCATCGGGTGATGTCTGCTGGTGTCGTCTGCTCATATTGCGTGGCTCTAGGCTGTGTTTTGATTCAATCACCACACCCACCAAAACTATTTATTTGTTCATTATGGTGCATAAAAAAGTATTAATAAATATATGATGTGTGTATAGTGTAATAACAGCAAAAACTGTGTTTTATTGTTCAAAGTATATAATATTTGAACTCAAATTAGCATGTGGCATGAATACTGTATATCTATGAATATAATATTCTATATGTTCTGTGATACAAATAATATTTTTGTATTATTAATCTAATAATTATTATTATGTATTATCCTCTAATTACTCAACACAAAGCTGCTATTAGGACAATATCCAACTCTGGCCCCAGAGTTGGATTGCAATGCATCATTACAATGCAGAACAATGCATCATTACACTTGAAAAACCATGGTAAAAACCTTTACAATACTAAGAAAATATGATATATTCAATGCATGCTGCTACAATTTCATGTAAACAATGTAGGACTAAGCTGAACTCTGATAACCAGTTATAGAGTTATTTCATTTACCAGTAACACTTAGTTGTTCGTAATGGTGCATAAAAATGTTGATATTTATATATAATGTGTGCATATAGTGCAATAACAGCAAAAAATATTTAATTTTGCAGACGAGGAGTCACAATAACGTTGAAATATGTTGACCAAACCACACACTAGAAAGTGAAGGGACGACAAGGGTCGTCCCTTCACTTTCTAGTGTGTGTGGTTTGGTCAACATTTAGTTTTATTGTTCTAAAAATATAAATAAAAAACTATTCTAAAATTTTGTTCTTAAATAAAAATATGGTGCACATATCTTAATCACACAAATGTGTGATTAAGATATGTACGCCATATTTTGTAGCATAGTGATGTTCCACACGTTTATTTACATAAATTTCTTAAATTGCACACTATTGAATAATATTACAACAAAAAACAGACAAAAACCATGGAGAGACATTGAAATAATTATGTAAAATTATATTCGCTGCAACTGCAGCGGCCACGAAGCTGCAAGGGCTACTGTCGCTGGATGAAGACTTACTCAATGTCCATAAATTGCTCTGCTTCTCTACTCTGTCATGCCCAAAGTACAGTACAGTATGTCTCATACAATATTTTTTAAGTTTCTCGTGATCATGGAATGTATTTTAACAATACAGTACTGGAAAGAAAAAAAATTGAGAATAATTTATTTTACACACACAGGGAACTTGTCATATTAAACTAAAGCACAGTACAGTGGTTAAAAGACAGATATCAATGTCAAAAATCATGACATGGGAGAAGCAGTCACTACTATATATTTGTATTAGTATTATAAGGTAGCAAAAGCCAAGTGCTTATGCTACATTATATTAAATTACTAAAACAAATTTATTTGTTTAAATTTAAAACAAAACAAATTAAAGCAAATTAAAAACAATGTATCTAAGGAAAATAGATAATACAAAACAATTTATTGATTTATTGGTTATATATTTATTTAAATATTTACACTTGCTGTAAGTACTGCACAATTTTTCTTTTGTAAAAGTCATTAACATACACAGAATCTGCACAAAGCTTAAAGCTAACAAAGCAGTTGAAGCGTACATTTGAGAATTTGTAGTGAATTGTAAGTTACAAGATGTTGAAATTTTGTTAATTTTGTGAATTATAAATATACTGTACAACCATTTATGAATAAAGTTTTGGATTTGATTTTGATTTGCCTGATATATTGATATGAATTACTGTCTGATATGAATTATATATGCTAGTGGGTTGTTTGATAGTTAATGAGAGTGCAACTTGGCAGTCTCTTTGATGCTAAGTTGAGCATGCTGCAAGTAATGCACTTTTCTTTCCATATTTTTGGCTGGATTGAGTGTTCTTTAGTGTCTTCCTAGTACAGTACTAGTTTGACCTGAAAAGAACATTTTGAAAAGTACCTGTTGTGCAGATGTGGTATGTTAACTTTGAATACCTCAAAAATGGTGACTACAACAAATTAAAACTTTAAAACACACAATAAGAACTTACAGATTGTGATGTAATACTTATACACATAACAAATTACAAAGCTGGTGTATGTGACTATTAAATTACAGGTGGCAAATTATACATTAAGAGAACATACAGCACAGTTTTAATGTGTTCAAGCAACCACATCTAGGTGATGAGTGTGAGTTTAAACTTGTTTTCTTATAACATTCATTGTACAGGAATGCAAAAAAGTCAGTACAGAATTATAAGCTTCTTTCTGGCTTCCATGATAGTATAATAAGGATGTAACTGAAGACAGAAAAGGAAATAAAAACCAAAAAGTAATTATTTTCACTTTGTTTTAAAAAGTGCTACATTAGTGCTCAACACTATTTTATTTGGATGATGAATAATTGTTTCAAAAAGGTTTCATCATTGGCTCATGTTGAGTGATGTAATAATGGTTCAACAGTAACTTGACCTGCCCAAAATGCTATGCATGTTAGTGGCTTTGCAAAAATGTAAAGACATCAATGCTATGTACTTTCATAAACCCAATATGTACCTTCTATAAAAAAAACTTGATCATGATAGTATTTCAACAGCTTATCACTATGTAGTGTTATGCCTCAATAGCAGGAGGCACCAGAAAAACATATTTACCTTTTTGTTAACGACTCAATAACTGCTGCTCTACATGGTGCTCCATCAAAAACAGTAGTGTGCAGGTTAAGTTCCAATGTTTTAATATTTCAGAGCACAAATTAAAAGAGTGCAAACTTTAATCTAGAAAACATGTATGAAGTGCCAATTAATTGTAATAAAAGTATAACACTACATACCCCAAAAGTATGTAAAACTTCACAAGCAGTCTTAAGAAATCGCATACTGTTTTCTTTCTCTAACGAGCATATTGAAAGGTATTACTGTGTAAACATTTTGAAGTTACTCTTATTTTGTTGTTTTTAAAATTCAGACCATTTATTGCTGCGTTGCATAAAATATTAATAAAGTTAAAGCAACAGCCAATCTACAGCATTCCTTATAGGACAATCTCAGTCAGAAATTTGCATTCCTAACTTACTTCCATTATTAATACTGTATGCAATAATGCAAAAAAAAAATTCTCCAAAACTATAAGTAGTCTATTGTATTAACATAAGAACTAATACCAAATCACCCAAGACCAGTTACCTCCCATACATTATTTCTTAAGTCATGAAAACTAGATGTTTTAAACATTTTTTATTAATTGGTCTTTAATTCTAAGATAAATTTACTTTTGTCAATTCTTTCTGTGTACATACAATACGTTCACATTAATATATAGTAGATAACTATAATTTAATTAATATAGATAATGTAATAAGTTAGGTACCTTCTGGCAAAATAACTAATTTGCATAGAGTTTTGGGCCAAATTTTAAGGCTGATATTAAAAATTAAGGAAAATATTTACAAATTGCAATTCATCATGTAAGTCATGTTCACTAATAAAACAAATCAGATTAAATATACATAGTTCCAAACCATGAAAACTATCAAAAGAGCAGTAGGGGCCCAGGGGACCTCATTACTGTTCATGACTGCAACATAAACAAAAACATAAATCAGAAAAAATATCTTTAAATTCTCACGAGAGAAAATAAATGGTGAATTAAAATTCTTTAAGAATAGGGACTGTGACATGGTGGTATAGTTGAGGATTACAAGTTCAATGTGGCACAGTAGCTTTTAAATGTAAAAGTACATGAGGACTGAGATGAAAGAGTTTAGGGGTGGTAGCTTGGAGGTGATTGTGTGGAGGCAAGAGCCTTACTATAAACAGGACAGCAACAACAATGAGAGAGTGTGAGCATCATGTACAGCAATTGTGGAGGCAAGAGTATCAAGGTCTTACGGCCTGGTCATGTGGTGCCTTGCGGAAGGGTACAGGGAGCAGCGGACCTTCCACCCAGCCTCGTATCACCTGAGGCAGCCGCAGGGAGAAATAATGTCTTTGTAACCTTGTTCTTCAGTAATTTACACTGATCATTATGTCATTCACACACACACACACACACACACACACATTTATTTCTTTGTATGGACTTATTTAATATACTGTATATTGAATTTATTATAAATATGCCATGGGTATATTAGCTTTAATCTGGTTTCCATATGCACCACATACATATGAAATTATTAAAGCATCATTTATACTGTATTAGTAAATAGCAAGGGAGGATGTATACATGCATAACAGCAAACATCCACATGCAGCTGGTGACCCCATATACCAAGGCTGCTAGTTCATAGACAAGAAATTTCTCAAATTCCATACGGAAAACCTGCAAGTTATAGGCCTAAGCTTTAAAAATTGTGTACTAAAGAAATGTGAAGAATAAATGTAGTGAGAGAAGAGGATGTTTATACTGTACAGTATATGAGCACTGGATTAGTGAGTAGACCATTTAGATTTAAGTGATAAAAATAATTTTGACCTGAAAAATACGGGTAGAATGAGAAAAATGTGGTTACAAGCAGAAGAAAATAATGTCCACAACAAAAATTTAAAAAAGTAAATTGGATAATTAATATCTAGAAAAGTTTGAGGGAGGAGAACTTGCCCAACATAGAACTTATTACAGTCCTTACAAGGTATTTTATAAATGACACAATTATCACTACAAGGGCTGTTTCTAATTAATAGCTTACCAATAGTATTTTCGTGGCTAAACAATACATGTATATCAAAAAGTTTCAAGGCCTTGACAATATTCTCAAACCCAGAGAAATATGGTAAACATAACACATTCTTTGGGCGAATTTTTTCACTGCATATATTATTATAATATGTACGACGTGCTTTGCTACAGCAAACTTAAAAAAAACTCGGTGGGTAACAGAGCTTGAGACCAATAGAATCAATATTCTTAAACTCTTCATCTAAGAATTCTGGACTCACAATCTGAAGAGCTCCTAGATACATTGAAAAAATAATGAACATAAGATAAAGTCATCATTTGTGAAAAGGCAAGAAAAATGCATGAAGACCTTTTAAAGAAAACCCCTGAAACGAGTGATGCAGAAGTGAAAGAGTTTAAGGCAAGCAGGGGATGGTTTGAGAAATTTAGAAAAGAAGTGGAATCATAGTGTTGAGAGGCATGGTGAGGCTGCCAGCTCAGACAAACCAACGGCTGAAAGATTCATTGGCGAATTTAAAGATTTTGTGCAGAGTGAGGCATACCTACCACAACAAGTGTTTAATTGTGACGAGACAGGGCTATTCTGGAAAAGATTCCCAAAGAAAACATACATTACCAAGGAGGAGAAGTCATTGCCTGGGCACAAGCCTATGAAAGATCGGTTTATTCTTGTGTTGTGTGGTAATGTGAGTGGCGATTTGACAGCTGAGGAAATTTCTTCAGGGAAGGATGTGCCAGTACAGAATGTCTCTTCCTCAACAATTAAGGAAATGTGTGCAGCATGGGAAGAATTGCAAACCTTTGCTGAAACGACTCACTCAAATCAAGCTGCAGTAGGTCGTTGCCTTAACCTATTCAATGACACTGTGATGCATCATTACAGACAAATGTTAAAACGAAGGGAAAAACAAATGTCTCTTGACAAATTTGTAGTGAGACAAACAAGCACTGAACCACAACCAGGTCCTAGTGGTATTCAGGCAAAACATAGGAGAGAGTACCCCAGAGAAAACATCACTGCCTGATGTGATAATGGAAGGGGACTCCCCTTCCAAACAGTAACAACTCTCCTCCTCCCCCTCATCACCATCTTTCATACGCCATCAAGAGCCCTCCATAAAGGTAAGAGAAACTTTGGTACTGTATTGTAGTTAGAAAAAACATTGTATTCAGTATAAAATGTATTTGTATGTTAATATTTTGTCGGGTTGGGAATGGATTAATTCAAATCCCTTTATTTCATATGGGAAAAATCGCTTTGACTTACGATATTTCGACCTACGATCTGTCTCTGGGAACGGATTAGCATCATAAGTTGAGGCCCCATTGTGTGTGTGTGTGTGTGTGTGTGTGTGTGTAAATCACGAAAATAAACGTGTGATTAAAAATGTGACGGTGTCAGACCACGGAGGAAAATTGAAACAGGAATTTCCTTAAGTACTTTTGTATATTAAGACTCCTTCTGAAGATGTATTAATATACGAAAGTACTTAAGGAAATTCCTGTTTCAATTTTCCTCCGTGGTCTGACACTGTCATAATATATATATATATATATATATATATATATATATATATATATATATATATATATATATATATATGTATATGCAACCCGTTCTCGCAAATTCGTAAAGTCAATATTGACTTATTAACTACGTGCATAGGTGATATACTAAACATAATAGATACCCCTAAAAAGATTCATAGAAAACACCGACCTTACCTAACCTTGTTAGTATCTTAAGATAAGCATCTTATTGCTTCATAATTACAATTATTACTTAACCTATACCTATTATAGGTTAGGTAATAATTGTAATTACGAAGCAATAAGATGCTTATCTTAAGATACTAACAAGGTTAGGTAAGGTCGGTGTTTTCTATGAATCTTTTTAAGGGTATCTATTATGTTAAATATGTCACCTATGCACATATTTAATAAGTCAATATTGACTTATTAAATTTGCGAGAACGGGTTGCAACATTATATATATATATATATATATATATATATATATATGCAAGGTAAAAATAAAATTGCCTGTATAAATTTTAATTTTGCAAACAAAACAGTATACAAGCATATTTTCTTAAGATAGAATGTGATAGTTGTAGACAATAAAAAACATACAAGTCTGTAGGTTGATAAGGAAGACAGAATACCTGTCTTTTAACTGTGCTGATACTGGAAAGTGTTTAAATATTTTATAAACTGCACTGATGAAGAGAGACAACATTATAAAATCAGGGCTTGCATTGTAGGACTTTTATTAGGTGCACAACTGAAGTTTAGTACTTATGGAATCTATATAGATCCCCTTTCTTGTAATTTATTAAAAACGAAATTGATCAAAAAGCAAAATTTTTATTTGAACGAAATATTATACACATTTACTTAAGTGCATTTATTGTGTTTTACACTTAAGATGTTCAAGTGTGAAACATGCCAAGGCCACGATTATCCTCATATTTACAGTGAACACTGAACCGCACTTCCTACTGAGAATATTCATCTGTTCTAACCTGTGTCTGCAGATCAGTAATGCTCTCAATCCAGAAGACATTTGCATCTCGCTTCTTCTTATTTAAGGCCCTTTCCAGTGAGTCGACTGAGACGCCATGAGGAACCTCCCCTTCTGGGTGAACTGCAGCTGATCTAAGGGGGTCAAGTTAGGTCAGGTCAGGTGTTGCATAAGACACATTTATGCCTGGTGGATAAGTGACTGCCTTCGTAGTATAATTTACCGAACCATAATTTGAAATTAGGAGAAGGAATGTATGACCATGTCTCATACAAAACATCCAATCACAGAGCAGGCCAGCCTTCAAAAGCTTAAAAGCCTATGCAGGTTGCAACACTACAGATGTTTAAAAAAAATATCAGATGAAAGATATTGGTGATGACGGCAGCTTGAAACATTCAGATTTTGCATATTTTGTTATTATAAAGGAATAACAAATGCTATTCTAATATTACATATTCCACATGAAGTAAAATGGTGATCATGTGATAGAATGAAGTACGAGTACAGCTGGGGTTGTAAAAAGTAGGTACTAGGGTACTGAATGTTGCAGTTAAGGTTGTATTCTACACTCCTAGACACTTGCAGTGTGTAGTTACCTGCTAAGACATGTGACCACTTACTTTACTGTTGTGCTTAAAAGCATATCATCCTCTGGAGGGTTATTAAGGACATAACACTAGCTTACTGACCAACTAGCAAGTATACTGTAGTCCCAAACATAATCGAGCGGTCCGTCTAATTACAGCAAGCTACCACAAGCTGCACAAGCTTCACAAAGCTTTCTCGCAATACGTTAGTAATGAATAAATATGATATATTTACTCATTATAATGTTGGTGCTGAATGTACAAGACGAAAAAACATAATTTTAATCTGAAAAAGTATCTTTTTATAAAGAAATTAGGCAAAAATAAAGAGCTGGTGACGCCAAATCAAGTCGACGATCCAAGCGTAGCGTAGGTTAGGTTAGGTCAACCTAACCTAACATATCATACTTATTCATTACTAACGTATTACCAGGAAGCTTTGTGAAGCTTGTGTAGCTTGTGGTAGCTTGTGGTAGCTTGTGGTAGCTTGTGGTAGCTTGTGGTAGCTTGTGGTAGCTTGTGGTAGCTTGTGGTAGCTTGTGGTAGCTTGTGGTAGCTTGTGGTAGCTTACGGTAATTGGACGGACCCTAGTCGAGGACTAAAGTAAATTCTCAGTGTATATTATAGTCCATAAATATTCGTACAAAGCCTCTACATTTGTTGTTTTGGCTCTGTATTTACTATTTGTATTTACTCTTTGTGCCTGCAGAATCGAGCTATTAGCTCTTGGACCCCACCTTTCAAACCAATCTATTTTTTCTTGTTTTTTTTCTGTTTTTATTTTTTATTTTTTTTTTATATACAAGTCCTTGTATTCTTGTAAAGCCACTAGCATGGATAGCATTTCAGGCAAGTCGTTAATCTTAATTTTCCCTGGAATACGATCCGAAAAATAATTTAACAACCAGGTACCCGTTCAGTGCTGGGTGAACAGAGATGTATAGTTAAGGATTGGCACCTAGTCAATCCTTCCTGGCCAGGATGCGAACCTAGGCCAAATCGCTCGTGAAGCACGGGGCGAGTGTCTTAATTACCACTGTGCCACGGGGATTGCTGTCTACTATTATACTATACTATATAGACTACTAAACGTAAACTACATATATATTTCTCTCTAACGCATATACACACACATACATTACCAGGATGCAGCCCATATCGGCTGTCTAACTCCCAGATACCAGTTTACTACTAGGTGAGCCTCATATTTCATTAAGATTAAAATTAACATCAGGTGAAAGAAACTGCCCATATGTCTCTGCCTTAGCCTCGAACCTGGATCCTTAGGACTACGACCCCAGAGCACTGTCCACTTGGCTGCAAGGCCCCTGTAATAGCCATGAGGTTAAAATGCAGACTTCCAGCTTTAATTTGGGGGCATTTACATCTACACATATATTGGGTCACCCGGGAAGGAATTTCAGCTGTTTCATACATAGTCCTATTATTTTAGAGGACCAAAAGGAATTGGACAATTGATTGCTAAGCTGTTTCTTGGCCAGAAGTGTATCAGTGCATTGTTAGGCCATGCACAGGAGAAGTAACAAAAGGTCTAGAGTTGATTCTAGGTGTAGCATTTGTATTTGTAGTCAGTTGTTCTCTCAATATGAGGAACAAAGACATTTAATGCCAGTAAAGCAGGCCATCATGAGGCTTAAAAGTTAGAATAACTCGGAGAACTAGGCGCATCGAAATCAATTGTTTAATAGCATTAACCCTTAAACTGTGCAACACCCCTTGAGTGCACCCCTGTCTACCAATATACGTACCAAGTCGGTATATTGGTATACTGTCTACCAATAATTCCCAGTATACCAAGTGCACACCCATTCATATGACGTTTTGGAGCTCCGTGCAAGATTTAAATGGCCGGCGGCTACACGGGGTTCACATCAGCTTCCTCAGGGCTCTTGTAAACAGACACTACTTAAAAAAAATCGTGGTCAACATTCCTCGGGTGTGAAAGCCTCAGTACTTAGTGAGCCACCAAGGCTGGCACACGCAGAATGAGCTCACAGCACTGCTGTTCAGCTTGTGACCACAGCATCGCCTAAAAAGTAAAAAATATATGTACCTGGTATTATTTAGCAATGATAGTATTACAGAAGATTCCTGACTGTGATAAAAATTACCAGGATTCTGATAATAGCTGGATTGTTGTGATAATTTGAGCTGTGCTGTGGGAGGAGTAATGTTTAGGGTGGGAGGGCTGTAGCGTCATCTGCCGAATCTGTATGGCCACCTGTTACTGTCTGCACTCACTATATCAGCTTAGTAGTTCGCTATGGTGAACACAAATGTGGATATTTATATATAACGTGTATATATAGTATAATAACAGCAAAAGGAGTATTGGGAGAAGCCATTTTGGTGCAGGAGGTGGCATCTTCTGCATGAATTGTCATGCTGTGTAAGGGTGGCCACTATATGCTCTTTGGGCACTATACCAGCTTAGTTGAACAGTTATGGTGAACAAAACATGTAGATACTTATATATATATAATGTATATATATAGTGTAATATCAGCAAAACTATATGTTTATTGTTTTATGAACAAAATAATTGAATCACTTATATGATCACAATACTTTTCAGTATAGCAATGATTCACACATTTTATTATATAAATATATCACACTGCACACTATTGAATAATATTACTTTAAAAAAATTAGAAAAAATAAATCAGACATTGAAATAATTAGGTAATAATATCTTTGTGGCAACTCCCACCTGACAGCTCGGTCAGAGCTGACCGCCTCCGGCACTTGCTTTGTCAATGCCTGTTTTTTTTGCCAACTTCCCTGCCCTATTGCAGCCAAAATATGCCACCTACAATTTTTTTTATTATTTTTCCCGTGATTAGGGAACACAAAAAAATACTTTTATAAGAATTTTTTTTTGTGCCTGTGGGTGTTGAAGGCCAAATAGGCCAGAGCAGCTTATGGGGTTAAAAAGCAAGAATGTATTGAAAGCTAAGCAATAGCAAATGACCTGTAATTACCTAAGTGTAATTACTTAAGTGTAGTTACAGGATGAGAGCTACGCTCGTGGTGTCCCATCTTCCCAGCACTCTGTCATATAACGCTTTGAAACTACTGACGGTCTTGGCCTCCACCACCTTCTCACTTAACTTGTTCCAACCGTCTACCACTCTATTTGCGAAGGTGAATTTTCTTATATTTCTTCGGCATCTGTGTTTAGCTAGTTTAAATCTATGACCTCTTTGTTCTTGAAGTGCCAGGTCTCAGGAAATCTTCCCTGTCGATTTTATCAATTCCTGTTACTATTTTGTATGTAGTGATCATATCACCTCTTTTTCTTCTGTCTTCTAGTTTTGGCATGTTTAATGCTTCTAACCTCTCCTCGTAGCTCTTACCCTTCAGTTCTGGGAGCCACTTAGTAGCATGTCTTTGCACCTTTTCCAGTTTGTTGATGTGCTTCTTAAGATATGGGCACCACACAACAGCTGCATATTCTAGCTTTGGCCTAACAAAAGTCATGAACAATTTCTTTCGTATATCGCCATCCATGTATTTAAATGCAATTCTGAAGTTAGAAAGCATAGCATAGGCTCCTTGCACAATATTCTTTATGTGGTCCTCAGGTGATAGTTTTCTATCTAGAACCACCCCTAGATCTCTTTCTTTATCAGAATTCTTTAGAGATTTCTCACATAATATATAGGTTGTGTGGGGTCTATGTTCTCCTATTCCACATTCCATAACATGACATTTATTAACATTAAATTCCATTTGCCAAGTGGTGCTCCATCTACTTATTTTGTCCAGGTCTTCTTGAAGGGCATGACAATCATCTAAATTTCTTATATAAACCTGTAAACTATGGAAAATGCTATAGTGGATGACAAGAATTGGTTGTGAAGAAAAATATCCTTTTAAATGTGGAGTTCAGTCTTATGAACTCCACAAATAGTCAGAAGACTGGCAACTACCATATTTGCCGGCATATAAGACGCACTTTTTTTATTTTGAAATGTATCAAAAGAGTGCCCTGCGTCTAATGCGGTAGTATTACAGATGGGAGACCAAGAGGCATATATTATGGAGCCGGACAAGAATATTGGGTAAGTTCGCTAGGCACAAAAATTGTTGCTAATAATAAAATATTGAAAACAAGCTAAGTTATCACAGTCTGTTATCACAAACTTATGATACGTCAGCAGTTATGAAGGAAGCTCACAACATCTTACCCAGTACAGTATACATAACCCACACCTGATGTCAGACATTATTTAACGACTGTGTTACCTTTAAGACACCCAGAGCCCCAGGCGCTCAACTCGCCACCTCAGCTCCCACCAACTGAGCAGAAGACTTTCCTGTCTAACCAAAGAGTGGCTCCTCCCAACAGGCAACCCAGCCTTCACAATTGGGACCCAGGGCCCCACACGCTCCTTCGCAGCCCCCCTGCATCATGTGCAGGCATTATTCCTGGTCTTAATAGACTAGCGGAGAGGCTTGTCGGACCAGATAACCACCGTTTTGTCAGTGTCCTGAACACATTATACATAGCCAATGGC